ATTCTAGTGACTAAAAACAATCTGAATCTTGGCTCTGGCGTTCATCAGCTTAAGTAATTTACTTCATATTTTGATTCTAGTTTTCTTATCAACAGGGTTGTTGGGACAATTTAATAACACAAAATATTAAAAAAAACCACTCAGATTCAAGTCTAGCACACAGCCAGCACTCCATAAATAGTACTTATTTTCATTGGAGCTCAATGAAAATGGGTGAAATGGGGGCCAGGGATGTGCTCCCAGCTCCATCCTCAGCCATTTTTAAAATTTCATTTTGAGACAGTGTTTCCCTAGGTTGCTAAATCTGGCCTAGAATTGGCGCTATTCCTGCCTTAGTCTCCTGCATTGCTATACTGCTGGGATTAAAGGTCTGTGCCACTATGCCCTCCTGGCTATGTCCCACATTTTGAGGTCCTGCCAGACTGCTTTCTAAAGCAGCTGCATCATTTTACATTTCCATCAGTGATGTAGAAGGGGCTAATTTCTCCATATCACTATCAACACTTAATGTCCATTTTCCATCCTCCCTCTTTGAATTAACATTGCATTCAATTTAAGGTAAAAAAAAGAAGAAGCAAATCCATACACTCTGCTCCTGTTTTCTCACTAGACGCATGGCAGAGTGAGCCACGGCAAGTAACGTAAAACTGGAAAGGTTATCTCTTCCAGGTTTTCTAAGCAGCTCACAATGGGCCACGCCACCTCACAGTGCTCAGCATGAGTAGTGGATCACTTGTCAACCATCTGTCCTCCCTTCTAGAGGGCAGGGGCTGAGACTGAATGTTCCATGCTGTATTCCCAGGGCCTGGGCAGTGCCTGGCCTATGGCACTGACAAGTGAACGAATGGATCCATGGAAGAGAGGGCAGGTTTGCTGCCTGGTCCAAGCGTTCCTGTGCCTTGGGCAGTGATGGGTGCAAGGCATACTTACTGTCAAAGAGGATGATCCTGCCGTCACCACCACAGGGCTGGCTGTGATCCCCGAAGCAGACGCTGTTGCACTCAGTGCTGGCTGCCTCCCCATACTTCCAGTAATCAGGATTGTTCCCACAGAAGCAGGCATAGCCTGACTCCATGCCGGCAAACTGCCACAACAGAGAAGCAGCACACAGGCAGCATTATCAGCGGTGTCAGATGGCCGGGAGGAACCTGGCAGGGTCGGCCCCAGCAATCATCCTCATCTTCCCAGGCCACCCTTCCCCAGCCACCTCTCCTGGCCCCTCTCTTAATCCCAAGCTGACTAGTAGCTGCACACCACCATAGACCAACAGTCTATCTCCCCATCAATGGGTATCCTTTTGAATGTTGGCATTTCTACTGTATTTAATTATGCTTTAAGGTGGAGAAAATTCCATAAATTTGAAACATTGATAATAATAACCATTAAACATATTGTTTACCCTGTGCCAGGTAAGCTCATTACAGGACCCAGTTAAACTTTTCATTCCATCTTTTATATTACTATGTAGTATTTTGGTAGACAGTTCTATACATTTCAGTATTTGCATGGATTTGTGCAAATACCAGTACAGAACAGTTGCACCATCCCAGTGAGTTTCTTTGTACCATTGCTATAGAAGACCCTTCCCCTCACACAATCACTGACAACCAGTTTTCTACTATTGGTTCTGTCTTTTTGAAAAATGTAATAAAATGGAATCATACAGAACATACACTTTTAAGACTGGCTTTTCTCACTCAGCATGTGTTCAAGGTTCATCCAAATTGGTAAAGGTATCAAAAGTTCACTCTTTTTTATTGCTGACAGAGTCTGTTGCATAGATTTGCCATAGTTAATTCATCTATTGTATTACTTCTAGTTTTTCATGACTTTGAATAGAATTGCTATAAACATCTGTGTAGATTTTCATTTCTCTAAGGTAATAAGTAGGAATAAGATTGCTGGATCACAATACCTTCATTTTATTTATTTATTTTTTACATGGTGCTGAGGCTTGAACCCAGCATCTTGGACGTGCAAGGCAAGCGCTTTACCACTGAGCCGCAACCCCACCCCTACATTTAACTTTTTTTTAAAAAAAACTGTCAAATGTTTCCAGAATGACTACCATTTTGCATTTGCAATAATGATGTATACAATTATTTGTTTGCACAAATTCATTTCCTTGTCAGCATTTTTTATTGTCTATTTCATTGTAGCCATTCTATACCTGTGTAATGGTGTCTCACTGTGGTCTTCAATTGCATGGCTTTAAAGGCAGTGATATTAAGTATCTTTTCATATGATTATTTGCCATCCCTATATCCTCTTTTGTGAAGTTATCTATCTAGGTTTTGCTCATTTTTAAACTGTATTGTTTAGCTTTTTACTACTTGTTTTTTGTTTTTTTTTTTTAAGAATATTTAGCTGGGAATGGAACCACCATTTGACCCAGCTATTCCCCTTCTCGGTCTATTCCCTAAAGACCTAATAAGAGCATGCTACAGGGACACTGCTACATCGATGTTCATAGCAGCACAATTCACGATAGCAAGATTGTGGAACCAACCTAGATGCCCTTCAATAGATGAATGGATAAAAAAAATGTGGCATTTATACACAATGGAGTATTACTCTGCATTAAGAAATGACAAAATCATAGAATTTGGAGGGAAATGGATGGCATTAGAGCAGATTATGCTAAGTGAAGCTAGCCAATCCTTAAAAAACAAATGCCAAATGACTTCTTTGATATAAAGGGAGTAACTAAGGACAGAGTAGGGACGAAGAGCAGGAGAAGAAGATTAACATTAAATAGGGACGAGAGGGGGGGAGGGAAAAGGAGAGAGAAGGGAAATTGCATGGAAAGGGAAGGTGATACTCAGGGTTATACAAAATTACATACAAGAGGAAGTGAGGGGTAAGGGAAGAATAATACAAGTGGAAGAAATGTTTTACAGTAGAAGGGGTTGAGAGAGAAGAGGGGAGGGGAGGGGAGGGGAGGGGGGATAGTAGAGGATAGGATAGAGAGCAGAATTCATCAGACACTAGAATGGCAATATGTAAATCAATGGAAATGTAATTGATGTAACTGATGTGATTCATCAATCTGTATACGGGGTAAAAATGGGAGTTCATAACCCTTTTGAATCAAACCGTGAAATATGATATATCAAGAAAGATGTAATGTTTTGAACGACCAACAATAAAAAAATTTTTAAAAAAAAAAGAATATTTAATTAATTAATTTATTTTTATGTGGTGCTGAGGAACGAACCCAGGGCCTCACATGTGCTAGGCGAATGCTCTACCACTGAGCCACGACCCCAGCCCACTACTTAGTTTTAATAGTTGTTGAATGTGTGTTTGTTTGCTTTTTTACACATTCTGGTTATAAATTATTTCTAAATATATTTTTCCAGGTTGTAGTTCGTCTTTTTGTTCTCATAATAGTATTTTTTACAGAGCTAAAGTTTTTAATTTTGATAAAGTTAAAATTAAAATTTATCAGTTCTTTTTCTTACATGTCTTGCTTTTAGTATCATGCCTAAGAACTTTTTGGTTAAACCTAGGTCAAAAGTTTTCTCCTGGGGCTGGGTTGTGGCTCAGTGGCAGAGCACTTGCCTTGCACATGTGAGACACTGGGTTTGATCCTCAGCACCACATAAAAATAAATAAACAAAATAAAGTCATTGTGTCCATAAATAACTAAGAAAAATTAAAAAAATTTTTTTTTCTCCTTGGGCTGGGGCTGTAGCTCAGTGGTAGAGAGATTGCCTAGCTTGTATGAGACCTTGAGTTCAATCCCTAGTATCACACAAAAATAAATAAAAACTTTTTTTAAAAAAGTATTCTATTAAAAAAAAGATTTTCTTCTAAAACTTTTGTAGTTTTACATTTTAGATTTAGATCTAGGACCCAATATATATTTGCTCAATATAAAGTCTTTTGTGCTAAAATTCTTTCAATAGCATGATGTTCTAGAGACTTATTCAGGTTGGCAGGTATATTTTTTCTTTTTATCATTGAGCAGTAGTCCACAGCATGGATATACAATACCACAATTTGTCTATCTATCCATTAGTAAATAGACATTTGGGTTATTTATAGGTTGGTATTATTAGGAATAATGCTATTATTAATATTAATGATTAAGTCTCTATGAACATAGCTTTTCATTTATCTTGGGTAAATATCCAGGTGTGGTACTGCTGAATAGTAAGGTAGGTATATATTTAACTTTATAAGAAACTTTCTCCAAAGAGGTTGTACCATTTTACATTCCTACCAATAGTTTATGTTTTTTATTTTTTTTGGGGGGGGTACTAGGGATTTAACCCAGGGGCAATATACCACTGAGCTACATCCCTAGCCTTTTTGATTTTTTAAAAATATTTTTTTAGATGTTGATAGACCTTTATTTTATTCACTTATTTATATGCGGTGCTGAGAATCGAACCCACTGTCTCACACATGTTAGGGAAGTGCTCTACCACTGACCCAACCCCATCTTTTTGATTTTTTGAGACAGGAGTCTCACAAAGTTGCTTAGGGCCTTGCTAAGTTGCTGAGGCTGGCCTTGTACTTGTGATCCTCCTGTCTCAGCCTCCTGAGCAAGACGTCTTGGTTCATAGGTGTCTGCCACTGTGCCTGGCCCTACAGTAGTTTATAAGACTTCTACTTGCTCCATATCCTTATCAATTCTTAGTTCTTTTAGTATTTCCCTGAGAACTAGTGATGCTAAACATCTTTTTAAATGTGTTTATTGACTAGCCATATATCATTTTTTGATGAAACATCTGTTCAAACATGTTGTCCATTTTAAACTGAATTTTCTTATTGTGTTGTTAGATTCTTTATATATTCTATATATAAGTCCTTTATCAGATATAGAGATTCGGCAACTGCTTTCTCCTGTGGCTTGTGTTCCATTTTCTTAACTTTGTTCCATTTTCTGGACTCTTAGATTCCATTGTTAATATTGATAAGTCCAATTTATTGAATTTTGCTTATTTGTGGTTCTGTCTTCTATTTAAGAAATCTTTATCTAACCCAATGTAAGATTTTCTACATTTTTCTCCCCTAGCAGTTTAGTTGTTTTAGCTCTTTTTAAAAACTGAAATATAATTCACATTACATAAAATTTACCATTTTAAAGTGTACATTTAGGTAGTTGTTAGTATATTCAATATTGTTCAACCATCATCACTATCTAATTCTAGAACATTTAACACCCCAAAGAGTCCCTGAACTGATTTCAATTAGTTCTGATTCCTCCCATCTCACACCCTCTGGCAATGACTAACCTACTTTCTGTCCCTAGGGGTTTGCCTGTTCTGTACGTTTCATATAAATGAAATTACATAACATGTGGCCTTTTGTCTCTGGCTTATTTCATTTAGCATAACATTTCAAGGTTCACCCATGTTGTAGCAAACATCAGTATGCCATTTCTTTATACTGCCTGAGTAATGTTTTATTGTATATATATTTCATATTTTATTTACCCAATATTCATTAGTTGATGTTCATTTGAGTGGTTGTTTCTATCTTTTTATGAATAATACTACAATCAACATCCATGTATGATTTTTTTGTGTGTGAACATGTGTCTTCAACTCTCTTGGGTATATGCCTAGAAGCAGAATTGCTGGGTCATGAGAAAATTTTGCTTTAACTTTTAGAGGAACTGCTTGAGTTTTCCACAGCAGCTGCACTATTTCACATTTCCACCAGCAACATATGAAGGTACTAATTTTCCACATACCCACCAACACTTGTTATTGTCCTTAATTATAGCCAATCTAGTTGTATCAAGTGTATCTCTTATGATTTTGTAGCAAGTGTATCTCTTGTGATTTTGATTTGCATTTCCCTAAAGACTAATGACATTAAATATCTCCTATAGAGAAATATCTATTCAAGTTCTCTGACCTTTTTTTTTTTTTTTGGTACCAGGGATTGAACTCAAAGGAATTCAACACTGAGCCACACTCCCAGCCCTATTTTTTATTTTATTTAGAAACAGGGTCTCACTGAATTGCTTAGCATCTTGCTGTTGCTGAGGCTGGCTTTGAACTCTCGATCCTCTTGCCTTAGCCTCCCGAGCCCACTAGGATGAGAGGAGTGTGCCACAGCGCATGCCCATTTTTTAAGCTGTATTGTCTTTTTTCCTTTTTGGTCCTAAGGATTAAAACTAGGAGTGTTTTATAACTGAGCTACATCCCTGGCACCCCATCTCCCCGCCTTATTTTTAGATGGGTCTAAGTTGCCCAAATTGGCCTTGAACTCTGTTCTCCTACCTAGCCTCCTGAGTTGCTGGGATTACAGGTGTGTTCCACTAGGCCTGGCTGGACTGCTAGACTGTGTCTCTCCCCCCCCCCTCTCTCTCTCTATATATATAATTTTTTATGTGGTGCTGAGGCTCAAACCCAGCGCCTCGCATGTGCTAGGCAAGCACTCTACCAGTGAGCCCCAGCCCCAGCCCTGGACTGTCTTTTCATATTTTAATTGTGAGAGTTCTTTATACATTTTAACCACTAGACTCATCAGATACATGATTTGCAAATATCTTCTCTCATTCTATAAGTTGCTTTTTCACTTTGTTCTTAGTGTCATAAAAAGTAATCCTAACCTTAACCCTAATTTTGAGGAAGTCCAATTTTTCTATTTTTCTTTGTTTACTTGTACTTTTGGTATCATAACTAAGAAACTATTGCCTAATCCCAGGTCAGGCATATTTATATCTATGCTTCCTTATAACAGTTTTATAGTTTTAATTACATTTGGGTTTTTGATCTATTTTAGATATGTGCAATAGAGTCCTAGTTCATTCTTTTGCGTATGGACCTCCAGTTGTTCAAGTACTACTTCTTGAAAAGATTCTTCTCTCCTCATCAACTGATCTTAGTTCTCTGGTTGAAAATTAATTGACCAGGGATGGGGGTATAGCTCAGTGGTAGAATGTTTGCCTAGTAAGCATAATGCCTCTGGGTTCTATCCCCAGCACAGAAAAAAAAAATTATTTTCCAATTGATCATTAACATGTAGGTTTATTTCTGGACTCTCAATTCCATTCTACTGGTCTATACATCCATTCTTAAGCCATAGGACTTTTTTCAGTCATATAATTTTAGGTTAATTTTTGTCTATGATTATGCAAGGATAAAGGTTCATTTTTCTTCACAAAGAGTCCCAGTATTAGCTGGATGTGGTGGCACATAACCTGTAATCCCAGCCACTTGGGAGGCACAGGCAGGAAGATCACAAGCTCAAAGCCAGCCTCAGCAACTTAGCGAGGCCCTGAGCAACTTAGCAAGACCCTCTCTTAAAACAAAAAATAAAAAAGGGCTGGGGATGTGGCTATCCATGGGGTTAATCCCTGGTACGGGGGCGGGGAAGAGTCCCAGTGTTTCTGCAGAAGCATTTGTTGAAAATCCTTTCCCCTACTGAATTACCTTGGCACCTCTGTCAAAAATCAATTGTCCGCATTAGTGCAGATCTATTTCTGGACTCTTAGATTCCACTGATCTACAGCAGGAGTTGGAAAACGTTTCCTATAAAAGGTCAGATGACAAATCTTTTTGGCTTTGTGGGCCACAGAATCTCTTTATCAACTACTCAACTTTATTGAATAACTAGTTATCAGTATTTTCTTGAGCCTTGTGATTTCAAAATTTTTGTAGAATGTACTTTGTTTTGATATTTCCTTCTAACCATTTTTGGTAGAAGTATCACCACAGCTCTTGCCCTGTAAGGTGGGATACAATGTCTAGTTTTTGTGATATCACTCGTTTCACTAACTTTGACCACGAGTAAGATAGCATAAAACAGTTTTCTCCCTAGTAAAATCAATTGTTTTCCCTGTATAATTAGTAAGTATTTTGTAGGTAGATTCTTGTGGCTATGTAAATATTTATTCATTAGTAGATGAGGATTTGGAATATTTACATACCTTCATACTTGTTTTCTGAGTTGATTATTACTGTGATGGTTGCCAAATGGTGATTTTTCTAATTCCAACATTTCTTTATATTTATTAATTTACATTCTCTAGTAAGGAATAATTTTCTTCATTCTTGCATTAATTCATTTATCCATTAGTGTGGGTTTGCAGATTCTTATTTATAAAATGGGGTACATTTATTACTATCATTATTTGGTTAGAAGCACAAATTATGCCAGATTTGGCTGGTAGAAGCCCCTTTAAGTGGCTCCTGTATCCTTTTGATTTTCCTGCATAAGATGTTTCAGGTTCATCTTGTACTTTCTCAGAATCAACACTATAATCAGTAATTTTCTCCAAGATGCTTCTTTTTAGTGGAGAATAGTATTTAGAAACCAAAATTTAGGTGTTCAGTGTATTCTCTGCTATTGATATGTCACTGCTTGCAGGTTCTTCAGTGAACAAAGCATATAGGTGTGTGTGTGTGTGTGTGTGCGTGTTGTGTGTTATATGTGATGTATATAAATACACACACACAACGCACACACACATATACACACTTATATTTTTTTTCTATATTCACTCTCTATATATCAAAAACCATGCCCTATTCTAATCCAATCCCTATCCAACACGATAGGTTTTGTTCCTGTTTCCCTGACTTCCACATTTGTAACTCCCTTCTCTAACAAGAAGAAACCTGGCTCCCATTATCCTAGATCTGTTCATTTACATGCTCAAGCTCTATGCAAGCAGCCAATCACTTGATGAGGTAGAGCCAAATGCCTTGCTACCTGCCTCACATAGGCCCTGAACCTAGTCAGGCTATCCTCTTCCCTTGAGCCTGTTTAGTGGCCTTTAGACTGAACTGGAAAAAAAGAGAGGGAGGGAGGAAGGGAGGGAAAGGAAATGGAATTTTTTTCTCTCTTTCTGATGTAACAAACAGTAGTATTATTGAACTTCAATGATTAAGAGATGAATTTCAGATAAAGGAAGGGATAGGAAGAAGAGAAAATATTCTGGACTGGTGAACAGGCTAGGAAGTAAACCATGACCTTGTCTTATTATTCTCGGATTCTCTGTGAAGCCATTGATGTCCCTGCATAACACTCATGAGCGGATACCTAACTCTGTCAGAGGTCACACCGGGAAGCAGCTGTTGGGGATTTTCCTCTCCTCTTTTCCCAGTCTCTAAACAAAAGTGCTGCCTCACACTCCTGAATCAAGTCCACTCCTCCTTTCATTGTTCCTTGGCAGAAAAGTAGAGCTATACGGTTTGACAGGTTTTGTTTTGTGCTAAAGTTGTACATATTTTCAAGTCAGCTCAGCAAAATGCACTTCTGTCTATTTTTTCCTACAGTCACACAGCCACAGGATCATTACCTTATACCTCTGACTCCGGCAAAAACTGATGCAGGTTTGTATGGTAAGTTTGTTGGATGTTTTACTGGTGCCAGTTAGAGGAGGTGGATTTCCATGATCCTGGTAGCAGCCAAGGTTTCCAGGCACTAGAGAGGGGATAGGAGAAGAAGAAAAAGAAAAAAAAATTTGCAATATCTGGCTGTGAATCACTGAGAAGAAAAAGCAAATTGTGCCGGGTACTTTTATCTCAGCCAATATTTCCACTCCTGAAGTATAAATAAACTAGCAGCAGCTTTAAAAATGGAAGCCTCTCTATTTTATGCTAAAAACCATGTTTTTGTTTTATTCTGAAGAATATATGAGATTCTTAAACTCTAAGATGCTTTTTTAAAATACTTTTTTTTAGTTGTAGATGGACACAATATCTTTATTTTATTTATTTATTTTTATGTGGAGCTGAGGATGGACCCCAATGCCTCACATGTGCAGGCAAGTGTTCTACCACTGAGCCACAAACCCAGCCCTTTAAAAATTTTTTTTTTTTAATTTTTAGTTGTAGATGGACTTGATAACTTTTAAAATTTATTTTTATGTGATGTTGAGGATTGAACCCAGTGCCTTATGCATGCTAGACAAGTGCTTTACCATTGAGCCACAACTCCAGCCCTACGATGCTTTTTAAACCTTATCAGTATTGAGAGGGCTGGGTGTGGTGGCACACATCTGTAATCTTAGTGGCTCGGGAGGCCTCTGAGGCAGGAGGATTGTGAGTTCAAAGCCAGCCTCAGCAAAAGGGAGGCACTAAGTGGGGATGTGGCTCAGTGGTCAAGTGCCCTGGAACACCCCACCAAAAAAAAAAAAAAAAAAAAAATTGCCATTGGTGGAGATTCCCTGAGATCTTTTGGTGAGTGAATACGTTTCTTACTGCTGCTGGGACAAAATTACCACAAACCTACTAGCTTATAACAACATACACTTACTATCTTTCCATTAGGGGTCAAAAGTACTAGATGGGTAATATCAGGCTAGCATCAGGTGTCAGCAGAGCTGAGTCCTTCTTGGAGGCTCCAAGGTAGAACCTGTTCCTTGCCATGCCCATGTCCTAGCAGCAACCCCTATCTCCTGGCTGATGGCTACACCATTCCTCTCTGGGGCCGTCATCACCTTCCTTTCCTCCTCTACCTCCACTGTCACACTGCCTTCTTAAGCTCAGATTCTGCCTCTCATTGTTGTAAGGACAACATGATTATATTAGACCCAGGATAATCCAGGATAATTTCTCCACTGCAAAATCCTTAAACACAGCAGCAGAGTCCCTTATGCCATCTAAGGTCATATATTCACAGACTCGGGGGACTTAGAACATGGACATCTTTTGGGTCATTATTCAGCCTACCACAGTGAGCACAAAGTTGTGTTTCACAAATGCACATCAGATGGTTTGGTCTAGTAAAAAAGCTATATCTGAGGGCTGGGGTTGTGGCTCAGTGGTAGAGCGCTAGCCTAGCACATGTGAGGCACTGGACTTGATCCTTAGCACCACATTAAAAATAAATAAATAAAATAAAGGTAATGTGTCCATCTACAACTAAAAAAAAGTGATATTTTTTAAAAGGTGGTCATGTATAACTAATTAGAACAAATTAAAAAAAATTAAAAAGCTGAATCTGAGAATAAAGGTACCAAATGTGGTAGACAACTTTCAAAGATAGACCTCAATGATCCTGCCATGGACTAGATGTTTGTATATCTGATGACGTAATAAGAAATATGCATTTGGTTTCTGCACCTGGTTCCTTCCACAGTGCTCCCAATCCCTTGGAATTTCACAGGTGGATTGGAGCATCTTTTGTTCTAATGAGGCAGCTCTTGGTGGGCTCCTGAACAGCCTCAGGATGGGCTGACCAGTAGGAAGACCAAGCCGTGGTAAGACTGCAACCTTCATTCCCATCCCCCTTCTCCAGGAAGGGGAGACTGGAGCTAATAATCATGCTGTTATGGTTTGGATGTGAGGTGTCCCCCAAAAGCTCAAATGTGAGAAAATGCAAGAGGGTTCAGAAGGGAAATGACTGGGTTGTGAGAGCCTTAACCCAATCATGAATTAATCACCTGATGAGACTGAGTGGTAACTGAAGGCAAGTAGGGTGTGGCTGACTTGGGAAAAACAGACACATCTGTTGTCAGAAGTGAAGTGTGTGAATACATAGGAAAAATATGTTTTTCTCTTTTACCACCCTCGAATGTGTAAGTGGAAGCCTGACTCCCCAGTTGATGGTCCGTGCAGGAAGGGCCCTTGGGAGATAAGCTGGGTTAGATGAGGTCATAAGGGTGGAGTCCCCACAATGGGATTAAATGCCCTTAAATGAAGAGGTCAAGTCCAAAGCCCTCTCTCTTTCCACCATATATGGGAACAGCAAAAGATGGCTGTCAACACACCAGGAAGAGGGGGGCCTTGCCAAACACTGAATCATTGGACACCTTGACCCTGAACTTCCAAGCCTCTCTAACTGTGAGAAATAAATGTCCACTATCTAATCCACCTAGTCTGGGGTATCTCGCTATAAGCAGCCTAAACTGCCTAAGACAGGTCCCTACCTCCTAATGTTCAAACCCTCCCCTTGACTGTGGGTGGGACCAATGACTTGCTTCTGACCAACAGAAGATGGCAACATTGATGGGCTATCACTTCTTTGATAGGTTACAGAAGACTGACTTGTCTTGCTAGCAGACTCTATTGCCTTCTCAGTTTCTATACCTGAACAAAGCAATACACCATGAGGCTATCTGGCAAGGAACTGAGAGTGGCCTTCAGCTAACAGCCAGTATGGAACTGAGACTTTCAGTCCAACAGTCCACAAAGAATTGAATTCTACTGACCACTGTATAAACTGGAAAGCGGGTCTTTCTCCAGTCGGGCTATCAGATGAGACTCCATCTCTGGCAAACACATTGACTGTAGCTTAGTGAGACACCTTGATATAGAGGGCCTAGCTAAATCAGAGCCAGATTTTGTAACTCATAGACTATGTGAGAAAATAAATGTGGGCTTCTTTAAGTTACTAAGTTTTGGGATAATTTGTTACACAGTAATAGATAACTAGTACATCTAAATAACACAGACTAAATATATGTTTATTGAATGAAGGAATGAACTCATTGTGGGTCATAGACAAATCACTCTGGACTTTGGTTTTACATTGGTGTTATTAATTTTGGAATCACTCTAGTATTTAGTGAAGTCCTTTCCCATTCTCTGTCTTCTCATAATTTATATAACTGATTAAGACACGAATGACCTCTGGTCCTAGAAGCACTTCAAGGTTAGTTGAAAGTTATGTATTATCAATTCCAAAGTGACACCCATGCAGAGTCTTAAATGGTATTGTTCCTTTATGTTTAAGATTGAAAAAACAGCACTGTCCAGTTTAATCAGCTTTATTTCCACATTAACTTATTATTTTTCTTTCTTCTTTGTGGTACTGGGGATTTAACCCAGGGGTGCTTTACCACTGAGCTACATCCCCAGCCCCCCCCTTTTTAATTTTTTATTTAAAGACAGGGTCTTGCTAAGTTGCTTAGGGCCTCACTAAGTTGCTGAGGTTGGCCTCAACTTGGGATTCTTCTGCCTCAGCCTCCTGAGTTGCTGGGATTATAAGTATGTACCACCACACCCAGCTCCATGTTATTCTTTTGAGTACATAAAAATACACACATGTATGTGTTTGTATATGTACACACACACATACACACACACACACACACACACACACACACACGCACGCACTTTTTATTTAACTATCAAACCAGCTCATTTAAAATTGGCAGGAAGTACTCTGCTAACCCAAATACTCACCCTTCCCCCTTTGAGCCAAGTGGTTACCCTTCTCCCTTGCGTCACACATGGTTCAAATATAACAAATGTGGCTCACCACACAAATGTTAAAATGCATCTTTCGGAAACAAACCAAATCTCTATAGTAGCAAATGTAAACAGAATAGCTCCAGGCGGTAGGAGTCCAGTGTTCAGTGGGGGCCCTACTTGGAAATGTCTGGGTCTTAGGGTTTTAACAATCGCAAAGAGTTAGATGCATCTCTATTCAGGGGCATAGGAGTTATGATGAGTTTGTTAAAGGGAACTTACATATGGAAACCTGCACCATATGTTAAATGGTTCTTAATAAGAATTACTTGATCATCATCATTTTGGTCGCTTACTCTGACTTTTGTTTCATTTATTCTATTATGCTTATAAATAAGCATGTTATTATGTATTAGTTTACAGAAAGCCTAAGGCACATAGTCATAAATGTTACAGTTAGACATCAGTAAGGCTACGGTTTGCAGCTGGAATCTATAAGATTTATTCCTAACAATTTGGTGAGCAAATCCAGACAGCTCATGTTCCAACAAGGCAGGGAGGTCCCACCACACCATGAGGGTGGAATGCTGGGAATCAGCCTGCACCCTGCTGCTGTGCTCGCCGGTTTGAACATCAATGGCCTGAGGTATCATCCTTGCCTCCCAAGTCCATCCCGTGACAAACAGTGTCAAGTCTGCCTCCTGAAAATCTCACACAGTCCACCTTGCCACTCCTGCAATGCCGACCCACGTCTCCTCCCTCCTAGACCACAGCCTGGGACTCCTATTCCATCGCCATTTCTAGGCTCTCCCACTCTCATTTAGGAAGCACATGCCCCAGAATAATCTTTCCAGCACATGCCAGGCAGAATGCATGGCAAGTGCAAAAGCATGAGGCAAGAACAACCTTGTCCTTGTAGGAACAGTAAGTAGTAAGCATGACCGGTGACAGAGGAAGGGAAAGGCAGCAGCAGTGGGAGAGCTATGAGGTTCTGCCCCAAATCCCACAGCTCCCTGGCTGCTCCTCACCTCCATGAGGTCCAGCCTTTCTTGTACTGTACACAAGGCTGCACCCCACTTGTGCTGCTTCCCTGCCTCCCCCCACCAGCATGACCTTCCCCTCTAGCCCTTGACTCTCATTCTGTAGGACGACCAGGTTGTAGTGCATTTGCAAGTTTCCAAACATACCTTGCTCTCTGGTCTCTGGATGTTTGGACTTGCTATTCCCTGTGCTGAGAATATTCTCCCCTTAAGTCTTAAGACTGCAATCTGAAAATCATGAGCTTGC